AGGGAAAGATCAGTGGTTTGGGGAGAAATCAAAAGAGAAGTGGTGATAAGAGAAGATTCTAGGATGCATTTATGCAGAATGTCTCATAAAAAACAAAACAAATGAGGGAAAAGAAGCTGTATGGGGGAAGTGAGGGGTAGAGGTACTTACACTCTTCTTCCATAACAACTATTTTAGTTTCTGAGGCTGGTAAGACTTGTGGTGCTTTCGTTGTTCCTGGGGAAATTAAGGTAAGAAAGTAGTGAACAATAATATCTATTTTGAGCAGAGAAGGGTGGACTGAGCTACTGCAGGGAGGAGGCCAAGAGCAGGTGCTGCTGGCTGGCACAGGCTGGGGCTGTCAACGTGTTAGTACTGGTTAGAGTAGGTTTAGGGGGTACCTAAAGAGGGCAAAAAAGAGGCAAGTAAACCAGTGTCCCCACAGGGGACAGCACTAGGCACACCCATCCCCTTGCTCCTGCCACTAGGAACTCTGGCACAAATGGCCCAGGATTCACCCAGCAGGTGATGAGCAGAACTATGGGAGATTTTCTTAGCCCTGACAGTCACAAGAGTACAAAGATGGGATCACAGAACATGACAGTGAGGAAAACATGGAGTTTAAGAAAAGAGATCATCTGAAAAGCCTCTGTCCCACAAGTGCAGCACAAAGTGATGCTCCTGCAAGAGATGGAGGAACAGGAAACAAATGAAGGCCATGGCCCAAGGCACTACAGGAGCTGAGCATCTGCAGCACTTTCCTCTGTATAAATCAGGATACTGGGGGAAGTCCAATGTCCACAGTCTCCAGCTCTACTCAAGCCCAGTGGCAGCAACAACAGCCCCTCTGGATGGAAGTCCCTCACCACCCTTTAGATGCCCAAAGGAGAAAGCACCAGGAGCCTTCACTGTGCCTGCAGCACCTGGCAGAGACAGGGGGTGAGATCACCACAAAAAGATAAAAGTAGAATGAATTTTGTACAAAAGTTTGATTTTTTTTTACCTGCAGTGTCTAGCAAAGGGGCAGGGAGGTGTCAGTTAAGGAGGTGTCTTGATATTTTCTGAGGAAAAAAGAGTCTCAGTCATGTCTCAGCTGTGCCCTTGTGCCCATGTGATACCAATATTGGACTAATCAGTAAAGAGAACTGGGAAATGTGCCATTTTTCTAAGAAGGCATCTAATTTACCTCCAAGTAATGAAACCAGCATCAAAGCACAATATATTTTGGCTAAGCTCAGAAGCATTTCCTCAGAAAGTGACACCCTCCCAAAGCTTTTTGAGGCCAAAGCATTTATTTCTGAGCTGGGTATTATGTGGAAATCACCAGAAGTGCAGAGGAGAGATTGGCTGATGGGCATTTTCTAAGTGACATGGGGTCACTGCCCAGCAGCCACTCTCTTCCTAAAGAAAAATCTCTCTTCAATGTGATGTTTTCAGTGATTTGCAATAGATCTGCATGGCTGAAAAGATGCTCTGATGCTATCCTGAAACTGCTATAAACCAAGAAGGGGTAGTGGAATAGAGCAAAGATACTTTGCAATGGCAATGCTGCCTCATCAGGATGACAATTTTTACCAGCAGAGACTGAATCCCAGACATCCATGGCCCTGAGGGTCTCATGTGTGAGCTCTTTCTCTGCCAGCCAGGGCTCCAGTGGGCTCAGTAGCCTCCATCTCTGGCCTCTCTAGCCCTGTATGGGAATGGTGTTTTGGGCTGAGGACACCTCACTCCTCCATGGTGCTCATCTCAATGCCACATTCTATGGGGGCACCCAGAGATGTCCCCAGACCTCATTTCTGTGTCACAAGATGTGGTGGTAGCTCAGGACCTTTTCCCAGTCCTGGGTTCTCCCCTGCCTGTGTCACAGCAACATTACAGGCCCTCCAACAATACTGCAAAGTGTCAGGTCAGACAGTCCCAGAGCATCAGTCCCAGCCAGCCTGCCCAGGACAGACAATTGCAGAAGGTTCCCAGAGACAGCAGAATGTAAAGAGAAGCAGAATGTAAAGCACCAGAAGAGACAGGAACAGCAAAGAGCTGGAGTGAGCTTCTGGAACAGAGGGGAAGGCTCCAAGAGGAGGCCAGCTCACAGGTCTGCTCTATTTCATCCTTATAAACTGCTAGAACTTCCCAGGGCTCTGTGTTGAGGCTTGGCCACAGTAGGGTCAGTACTAAGGAGCCTGCAGAAGAAGGCAGGCAGGGACAGAAGATGGCACACATGGATCTGGACACAAGCAGAAGCCCTGGGGAGTTTTCCACTGAAAGATGCTACAAAAGAAGGAGCTTGCAGAAGTGAGGAAAGCTGTCAAGGTCCCAGGAAGGTCCAGCAGTAAGGAAAGGGCGACTCCAGCACAGCATGTGTCTGGGCACAGATGAAGGATGCTCAGCTCTGGGTAGCTCTGGGAGGAAATGAAGAAAGAGTGCAAAGGGGGTGACAGAGCTGCAAAAGCCCACTGGGATCATCTTGTTTACCTTTGCAAGGGGCAACAACTCGCATCCAACTGCTGTCCCACCTGGTGACCATACCACCACACCACCAGCAGGATGTGCATGGCTCACTAGCAGTGAGCCAGAGGTCCATTTGCAACATCAGAAACTGGATTGAAGGAGGCAGCAGTGCAGGGCATTGGCCACAGCAGCCATGGGCCACAGCAGGGTAGGACAGGCCACCCACAGCACCTTGCAGCCTGCACCTCCCACTGGGAAAAGGCACGGGACAGAGATTTGGTTCTATGTGTGGTTGCTTTTCAGGTCTCAATACATTTCTGGGCAAACCTGGTGTCCTCACACCCTCTGTGGCCTGAGTGAGAGCAACCAGGCAGCAAGAGTAAAACCCAGGAGCTGCTCCCATGACCTGTGCCTGTGGGAAGGGGCACTTCAAGTTGCAGGGGCCTGATGTGTGTTTTCCTGGTGCCATGAGGAGCACAAGGGATCAGAGCCTTGCACACAGGATCAGAGCCTTGCACACGGGATCAGAGCCTTGCACAGGGGATCAGAGCCTTGCACACAGGATCAGAGCCTTGCACAAGGGATCAGAGCCTTGCACACGGGATCAGAGCCTTGCACACGGGATCAGAGCCTTGCACACGGGATCAGAGCCTTGCACATGGGATCAGAGCCTAACAGGGGAGCTGCTCAGTCACACTCTTGTGAAAGGGTTTTGCAGGGGCCTGGGCAGGGTGCAGGGAGGAGGCAGCCAGGGTGCTGAGCACAGATCCAAGCTGCCTGGACATGCTGGGCATGGAGGGGGCTACACAGGCAGCTCCCAGTCAACACAGATACAGTTTACATTGCAATGGGACAGCCAGAGCAGGAGTCTAAACAAAAGCAGGGCAATGCCTCAGTTGGGCAGCCATGGCTGGCCCAGCATGGACAGCCTTTCTCCAGACTCAGGTTTTAACTGAGGGGGACATTATGTGACATTGCAGCTCCACAGAATAAAAGGTTCAGGACAGCAAACACTGCTGAGGAGGAGGTTAATAGAGAAAAACAATGCCAGTAAGCAGGAGAAGAACCTTCCTTCACATTAGACTATTGCTAATAAGAGCACAACAAGAGAGACTGGATCACAGCAGAGGACTGCAGAGCAAAGCCCAGGCTCCCGTGGTGGCCCATTGTGAGTGGCAGAGGAAGAGCATAGGAAACAGAGCTGGTACAGAGTCATCCCTCCCCTGCTTGCACCCTCCTGGCTTCTGGCAACCACTGAAGGGACTTTCTGAGCTGGAGGGTGCATCCAAACCATCATGTTAAGCAATATAATAATTAAGACCAAGATAATAATAAAACCACCTAACCTCAGACTCCATCTGCTGAGCTATAAGAGATGGAGCACACATTCTAGGATGAAAACCAGAAGCCACTTCACTCATCACAAAGCTATGATTTAATTACTTGTCTTCTGGTGAGTTTTGCTTCTCAGAAATTCTTTTAAAAAAGAAAACATCAAGCCCACCAGCGTTCTTTCCTTCTTAGCCCTTTTTAAAGAATATATAGACTGTAAGTTTATTTAAAATGGAAATGAACCACATTGTCAGTGACAGATAACAAAGAGAAACATTTACGCTAGGCTGCATTATTTTTTTTTAATCTCCCAAGATTTTTTTACTTGATATCCTAAAAGCATGAAACAAAGTATAAGACAGATGACGTGCAGAACCTCCCATTTGCTGCTGGGATTGCAGACAGCTCAAGCCAGTTGCTGGCTTCTTCACTTACCACTTTTCACATTCAGGCTGCCTTTTGCGGTGTCTTTCCCTAACACGTTCTCGGCTTCGCAGCTGTACTCGCCAGCATCTTCCAGCTTCACCTTGTTGAACTGCAGTCTGGAAATCTTTCTGTTGAAAAGTACAGCAGACATTTCTTACTCGGTTGCCAAGCATCCTCACGAGTTGATAACCATTCCTGGCCCCGCACACTGCCTGGTACATCACCCTTTCTGGAGAGGATGGGCAGACTGACCTCACAGGTTGAACCTCACTCAGGCTCAGGCACAAGTCAGTGAAGACCCTTCCTGGGAATTGTAGCCATCATGATGTCCTAAATGAACTTCTCCCTCTGAAACCACTGCCTGCCACCATGGTTTGGTCTGACACTTGCTCTCATTCTTAGGTTGAACCCCTAAGTCCCAGCATTCCAGAACACGGATTTTTGGCACTGGAGAAAAGCCACTTTGTGGATGGGCAGGGGAATCTGCCTGTGAGACAGAGATGTGGAGATGAGGTGCATAATCTGCACAGTCCTCAGCAAGGAGGCTGAGCAGTTTGGTGCTTCCCCAGCTGTGTTCAGCAGTGCCACACACTCAAACACAGACACCCATGAGGTCAGGAGACTCATTCCTTTCCAGCCTGCAGACCAGAAACCCTATGGTTTGACCCAGCCAGCTAGCTTGTAGCTTCATCCAGACAGGGCAAGCTTTTTGTCTCCCCCCTAAAATACACTACAAACATAGAAACATAGAATCACAGGCCAGTTTGGATTGAAAGAGCCCTTAAACATTATCTTGTTCCACCCCCTGCTATGGGCACGGACACCTCCAACCAGACCATGTTGGTCCAAGCCCCCTCCAGTCTGGCCTTGGACACTTCCAGGAATGAGACAGCCACAGCTTCTCTGGGCAGCCTGGGTCAGTGTCTCACCACCCTCACAGGGAAGAATTTCTTCTTAATATCTCTCTAAATCTACCCTTTTCCAGCTTGAAACCATTCCCTGTCATCCTGTCACTCCATGCCCCCATAAAATGTCCCTCCCCAGCTTTTCTGGAGCCCCTTCAGGCACTGGAAGGTGCTCTAAGGTCTCCCTGGAGCCTTCTCTTCTCCAGGCTGAACACCCCAGCTCTCCCAGCTTGGCTCCAGAGCAGAGCTGCTCCAGACCTGGGATCATCTCTGTGGCCTCCTCTGGACTCACTCCAACAGCTCCATGTCCTTCTTGTGCTGGGGCTCTGGAGCTGGACCCAGCCCTACATGGGGGTGTCATGAGAGGGGACTAGCGAGTAAGAATCCCCTCCTTCACCCTGCCCTGTAGGGCTGAACAGCACACAATCCTATCATCAGGCAGCAGTGCCTAGAAAGAGCAGGAGGTGATTTACATGATAATTGGCCATGTCACCTACCAACCTGTGCGGCCTGGCAGAGGGAGCAGGTTTGAGGCACTTCCTGGAGGACAAGCATCACCAGCATCACCGTTCCCAGTGCCCATGAATGATGTCTCAGTCTCTGGGATGTCTCTCTGACTCACAGGCAAAGCCTCTTGTGGCCCAGTTTACCAGAGTTCTATAGGAGCCTTCAACACAGACTGAACACTAGCCATGAGACCACAGTGGAACTCCTATGCTGGGGAGTGTTACATTTCCTTCCATTTTAGCTGCCTTATCAAAAAACACCCTGTGAACTCTTCTCGTGGGAATGTTTCTGCTTTCTACCCCAAACTCTTCTCTCAGGTCTGTGTTAGATAGTCACTTTATTTAGAGATTAGGAAACAGTGCCAGCTTTAGAAAGAGGTCTCAGTGGCCTGTGTAGCTGAAGGCAAACAAAATTCCTTTTATGTGGAAACTATTCACTAGCCTTGGACATATTTGCAGTGTTACATGTGTTATATGAGAAGGACTTTCCTTTGGGCTGTGCAAATCATTGTCCATAGGAAGTCCTTCCCAGGAGCACACTGGCATCTTTTTAACACCCTGAAAAGCTTTTTTACTGGGAGGCACAGCACAAGGACACAGCATGAACATCTCACTAGTTATATTAGTAAATTAAAAGCACTTGGAGACAACTTGGTACAGCTCCCAGGATACAGGCACTGCCCTGTTTTGCAGGATACTGTAAGTGTTCAATTGCATGGGTTTAGGCCCCATGCAGAGCAGTTTTAAAATGAATGTTGACAGTGTGCAAAGATCTCTTGGATCCCTGTAGCCCCAGGTCTCCTCCAATCCACTATGCAAAGCCAGGGGCATGGGTCAAACATGTTCCAACATGGGTGCCTAAGCAAGCAGGCTGGTTCAGAGGGGTGCGGAGCTGCCTTGAATCCCAGTGCTGCACACTTCCCTGAGTTCCCTCAGCTCCCTTAGAGCAAAGGTCCTGGGCACAGTGATGCCTTGAGTGTCAAGTAACACTCAGAGACAGCAAAGCATGCAAGGGCCTCCAGAGGCTGTTGCTGCCTGGTGACTATTGGGTTCTGCATCTTGCCTGGGAGGAGCAGTGCCCGGCCCAGGACCACATTCTCCACCCCTCCACAGAAGCTGCTGCAGAGCCAGTTGGCCAAGAGGTGAGGAGGGCTTCTGGTACCACCACAGGCAACTCCAACAAGACTCATAGCATAGCCATTACTTTCCCTCAGCCACCTCCACCCCTGCTGACAGAACACACCACTTGCTTTACAAACCACCCCTGTGCCAGGCTTGTCTCCCAGTATCCTCCTGGACAAAATGTCCAGCATCCAGCTGGACAACTGTGCTGTATGATGGGTGAGCAGCTGGCAGTGATAGTGACTGAGGGAACATCAGGCTGGTGACTGGTCACTAGTGGGGTCCCACAGGGCTCCATCCCAGGCCCACTCCTCTTCAACATCTTCATCAATGACTTGGAGGCAGGACTCGAAGGAATTCTAAGCAAGTTTGCTGATGATACAAAACTGGGAGGAGCTGTTGACTCCCTTGAGGGCAGGCAGGCCTTGCAGAGAGACCTCAACAGGTTGGAGAGATGGGGGGTCACCAACCACATTAAGTTTAACAAGGGCAAGTGCCAGATTCTGCACCTGGGACGGGGCAGCCCTGGTGTCAGTGCAGAGTGGGGAACAAGTGGTTGGAGAGCAGAGGGACCTGGGGGTCCTGGTTGATGGCAACTGCAGATGAGCCAGCCCTGCCCTGGCAGCCAGGAGGGCCAACCCTGTCCTGGGGCATCAAGCAGAGCATTGCAGCTGGTCAAGGGAGGGGATTGTCCTGATCTGATCTGCTCTAGTGCAGCCTCATCTTGAGCACTGCCTGCAGGTTTGGGCATCGTGATATAAAAAGGACATCAAGGAGAGTGTCCAAAGGAGAGCCACAAGGATGGTGAAGGGTCTGGATGGGATGATTTATGAAGAGCAGCTGAGGTCACTTGGATTATTCAGCTTGCAGAAGAGGAGGAGGTGGGGTGACCTCAGTGCAGTCTGTGGTTCCTCACCAGGGGAAGAGATGGGGCAGGTCCTGACCTTTTCACTCCTGTGACCAGAGACAGGACTGAGGGAATGGCAGCAAGCTGAATCAGGGGAGGTTTAGGTGGGTTATCAGGAGAAGGTTTTTCACCCAGAGGGTGGTTGAGCACTGGAACAAGCTCCCCAGGGCAGCAGTCATAGCACCAAGCCT